AAATGGTTGCCGTCATTGTTTCATGACTTCAACACATGGGAAACTATTTTTATTTATTTTTGACTCTAGTACCTTTTATGCTAGTTACATGCACTTAAAACAAAATCATACTTTTTCGTTTTGAATTAAGGAAAAATACGTGGGGCTTTCCTATAGATATTGGATAGCTCTTCCTACATGCCAAATGCATTTTCTCTTACTCTTAGTATGATGCTGTTTATCTGTTTCTTCAAACATTCAGAAATTATCAAAGCATGGTGAAATTTATTATCTATTGGAGGCGTTGGAAATGTTTGTATGACACCAAAAGGCTCACTAATAATCAAAACCAACTATATAAAGAGTAATATTATTTGTATCTAATTTATTGACATCAATCACAATCATTGGATTGATACCGGACCCCAATTTTGGTGGAAACCCGCTTGCAATTCAAATGATTGTGATAGATTAGTTCAGCAAATTAGGTCACTAAATAAAATAAAAATAATATTATTGTTATATAAAAGGGGTAACATGATTTTGAAAGGGGTAATTTATATGCGTGATTAAAACTATTGTTAGATTTCGTGTAAAAAAGCCACATTATTGGTCCAATGGTTACAAAGTAGATTACTATGGATCTGGGGTCGGGAAGTATGGTGGTATGTTATGATCGAAATGTAATGCTAAATATTCACGCATTCCATCTGTGTTTTGTTTTGGTTCATGCCTGGCAGGCATAATCAATATGAATCTGGAACCTAGCCTACCACAACCACAAACCACAGAACGTTCATCTATCACATTCTATGTATGCAGATACATGCAACACCATCTAGAAAACATAGAGAGACAACCTTATCACCTAAATTGCTTTCAGATTCCCTTGCTATCTAACGTGCTCCATTCAAAGACCCAAATCTCGTAAACAGGTGTATCACGTTTTTAGGGAACAGGATTCGGACATCATGTTTTTAGGCAACTGGCAATTGTTAGATAAACTTTTGTTTTTAACTTAATTATGATACTATGTCATAATGAAGCATAGCAATCATTCAAAGAGAGGACTATGTTACCGAAAAAAAAATTTCAATATCATACTGCTAAGTTTTATAAGTTTTGTGAATTAACATACATCGCACTGGATGGTAGAATCCCTCCTATATGCCTCCCAATTTTTATATTATGTAGACACATAATTAATTTGCAAGTACTCCAATATACCAAAGGACTATAGTTAATGCCTTAAATGTTGACCCATGAATTGAGTGGTCATACTCGTACATGTGACTAATTAATGGATACAATGGTTGGTGGTTATTTTTCCATGCATGAGGAGAAATATCATAGAGAGAGGAATATAGGTGGTTTGAATACACAAACTTTGGAATAGTTGTGATTGTATCGAAAGTTACAACCTTTCTAAAGTGTATGTTCATTCATTTGAATGAGTGTCTTGCATGTCTATAAATATTAGTACAACCTCATCGTTTCGTTTTATTTGTGATGGTTAATCTTGAGAGTATCAAAATAAAAAAAATTATACATCATGTTCTGGGCAGTGAAAAGTAGACGGTACCAGTACCATAGTTGGACTCGGAGTGGAACCGTGTGTGCAACATGCAGCAAACTGATTTCACTTGTTGCTTGTCAAACACGCCTCTTTGTTCATGATCATGAACCAGAACCTGAAAAATTGACGTCGTTGTTATAAATGACGATAGAAGTACAATCCCATAGAATTGACGCTTTCCATTAGTTTGTGTTGTTCTAGTGCAACCACGTACTAAGTATAAATGTGGGTATCTATAATACAACCACGAAAAGATGGGATATTCATAACACAGTTTACATATGCAACTTCATCTCCTAGATGTACAGAGACAAACTTCTTAACTACTTCCAACTACCCATGTCACTTCCTCCAATGCTGGAATGCACAAAATTTTCTTCTTAAGTGATAGGCGTGGTAATCGTATCATGTTAACTGAGTCATATGCGAGTTATCGTATTTGTTTGAGTACTTGTTGAATACTAATTAACTCTAATCTAATGCATTTAATTAAGAAAAAATTTCATCTATTCTATTATTTGTTAGGTCTAAATTCAATGACCCATCCTTTCGATTCTAAAATTTCACTGCACCCCTTTCTAGTTTATATTTTTAAATCAAAGACACTCCCTTAATGATAATTTTTAGCTTTGCCAGTATAAAAAGTAATGGTTTGATTATAAAGTTTCTAAAAATGTCAAAACTATCATTCCTTATGTAGATATATTAAAATGCCCTTAACCCTTTTCCCACTATATATATCATACTTTTTGTTGTTGCTGAATGTCAAAAACGATTTGGTGTTGTTGGAAGATATAGGGGATTGAAGCCAATATTCTTCTTCAACTTGTTCTCTACAGTGATCAATCATTACCTAAGTTGGTGAAAAAGAATTATATATTTTTTTCTTGCAGATTTGTAATGTTTTTATTGCAATTTTTTTAAAATTATTTCATACAATTTTTTTTTAATTTTTTTTTCATGCAGATATTTTAATTTTTGCCATGAAATTTGTTTTAAAACTTTTTCATGTAGTTTTTTTTAAATTTTTTTCATGTAGATATTTTTAATTTTTTTTCATGCAAATTTTTTTTTAATTTTGTTCATGCACATTTTTTTTATTTTTTTCCTTCCATTTTTTTATGTAAATATGTTATGATGTATTATTATAGAATTGATATATTCTTCAACTGTTAGTGAGGCAGAGACAGATTAATGTATATGTCAAAATCTCATCAATTTTTAACTCCTTTGCTATCGTCTGTCATTCACAACATCACCCATTCACTCTTCACACATCACCATTCATATATAAAATTTAAATATTAAAATTTAATAATAATTGAATAAATTTGGTCTTAATTTGATAAATTTAAATATTAATTTAGTGTTAATTTAATATATATATTCAGTGTTGGTTTGATAAATTTAATATTAATTGAATAAATTTAAATGTTGCTTTAATGAAATTAAATGTTCATTTGGTGTTAAATTAAATAATTGACATTAATTTGATAAGGTTAAATGTTAAATTAATGGAATTTAATATATTAAATTTTACTTTAATAAAATATTAAATTAATATAACTAAATGATAATTTGATAAAATTAAATATCAATTTGTGTTGCTTTGATGAGATGAAATATTAATTTAGTTTAAATTAAATAAATAACATTAATTTGATAAAATTAAATATTAAATTGATAAACTTAAATGTTAATATAATAAAACTAAAAGGGAGTGCATTAAAATTTTAAAATCGGGAGGGGTTATTGTTAAAAATAGGCCTATTTATAGGGGTGTCGTTGAAGTTATATCTATTTACAAGAGGGTATGGATAAAATTTATCCTATAAAATATTTAGGAGTATTTCTATAAATTAACAATTACTGTTAATGTTGTAACCCGATAAACACTGGCAGGGGGTGACATTGAAGTTTTAAGATCGGGAGGGAGTGTATTGGATTAAGACCTAATTACAGGGGGTGTGGATGAAATTTTTCCTTTAATTAATCATGTTAAATATTACGACATTAACTCGAGATATTTATTATCATGATGTGTTCTAATTGACCAATATAATTCGTGGATCAAAAATCTAAAAGTTTGAACCTATTGTCTTTACCAAATCCATATAAGATTTAAAATNGATGGTATGTTATGATCGAAATGTAATGCTAAATAATTCACGCATTCCATCTGTGTTTTGTTTTGGTTCATGCCTGGCAGGCATAATCAATATGAATCTGGTACCTAGCCTACCACAACCACAAACCACAGAACGTTCATCTATCACATTCTATGTATGCAGATACATGCAACATCATCTAGAAAACATAGAGAGACAACCTTATCACCTAAATTGCTTTCAGATTCCCTTGCTATCTAANACGTGTAAAAATTTTTTCTTATTTTACAAAGATTCATGTCAATACTTGATAAAAAATAACAATAATTTATATTTTATTCTTATAATATTAGTTATGCGTATTAATCATGTCAATTTCGGATTATTCNATGTGTAAAAATTTTTTCTTATTTTACAAAGATTCATGTCAATACTTGATAAAAAATAACAATAATTTAGATTTTATTCTTATAATATTAGTTATGCGTATTAATCATGTCAATTTCGGATTATTCATGTTTGACGCTAATCAACCCTAATTATTATTTGTATTAGTTAGTCGCTTTGTTTTTTTGTTTATACTAAAAAATGGTCAACCCTAAATCGCTAACTTAGTGTCGGGTTTGAGTTAAATTATCGTGTTGTACCGAAAATTGCCACCCTTACTAAGTGGAACCCTAACTTCAACATGAGTAAATATTTAATGTTGTAGTGATACCACGTCATCAATACTTCGTATTAATTTAAAGAACAATGCTATGTAACTCAAATTTATAACTCAAATTGTATCCCAAATTTGAGTTACATAGTATTTCCCTAATTTCAAATGGATAAATTGAACTCCTATGTGAGGTTGCAATTACTTTACATTAACATGTAATTACTAAATTTTGTGGGATCTACTTACTCATTAGTTAGGTTTTTATTAAATGTTGATATGACGTGATTGAAATAAGGTGATATGAAGGTTATTCATTAGTTAGGTTTTTATTAAATGTTGATATGACGTGACTAAAATAAGGTGATATCACTCATTAGTTAGGTTTTTATTGAATGTAAATATAACATGACTGAAATAAGACGGTATCACTCATTAGTTAGGTTTTTATTGAATGTTAATATGACAACGGTCACATCCAATATTTCTCGTGCAACACATGGCAGCATACTTCACACGGGCTCATTCAAGCACGCCTCATAACATCTTCTACACTAGTATAAATATAGAGAGGGAGAACCTCGTTTACTACAACTACTAACACTAAATTTGTTTCAAATTCCCCTGCTTCCCAGTGAGATCCATTCAAAAGATCCAAAGCTCTCAATCAGACATATTCATGGATGTCATACCAGGTTTCGAAGATCTCAAACGTATTCGAATTGCCAAACCAGATGGACAATGTACGATTGCTAATGGTGAGGAAGAAGAAGAACCAGTGAGTCCTATGGCTCGTTTGTTTCATGAACCTGGTTGCAACATTTATATCATTACTAAAATTGGCTTGAAAACCCAAATTCTTGATATTCATGCTTTTAAAGCCAATCTGGGGCTTACTCTGGCGAAACACCCTCGTTTCTCTAGTTTGCAGGTATGAACAACAAGATTTTTACACATTTTACATAAAAACTCCGGATAGGTACAATCATCGCAGATTAAACTATAAGACATAAGATTAGCCCCATGATGTAACCAAGCTGAGATATTGTTATGTTTTGTGTTTTATTTCCAATTTGAGTACTTCTTTCTTCAATTTGAATCTCTTGACTATCGACAGCACTACAATCATTACAGGTTGTGAGCAAAGAAAGTGGTGGAGAGATTAAATGGGTTCAAACAGAGGTGGACATGGATAACCACCTTATAGTCCCCCACATTGATTACCCTGATGAAAAGTTTGTCGAGGATTACATCTGCAACCTGAGTAAATCTACCATTGACAAGTCGAAACCTATGTGGGACTTCCACATCCTCAATGTCAAAACATCCGACGCCGAGGCGGTAGGTGTCCTCCGCGTCCACCACTCCCTCGGCGACGGTGCATCTCTTATGTCTCTTTTTCTTGCTTGCACTCGTAAAACATCTGATCCTGAAGCTTTTCCAAGTTGTACGATCGTGACAAAAAAATCGAATTTGTCAAAATCTTGGGGGCTTGGTTTTGTTCTGATGATGATGATGATGGTATGGAACACAATCGTTGATGTGGTGATGTTTGTACTCACTGCATTGTTTTTGAAGGACACGAAAACTCCTCTGAAAGGTCCGCCAGGTGTTGAGAACAATCCTCGGCGCATTGTTCATCGAACAGTTAGTCTGGATGATGTGAAGTTGGTGAAAAGAGCCATGAATATTGTGAGTTTTGTTTAAGCATTCAGCATAAATGCATCATAATTGTTAATATAAATCAGTGATAGAACCTCAAAATTCCCCTATTTTAGAATATTTTGTGATGTATCAGAATGTTCTAACCAATTTTTTAGAATCAAAACTCCAAACTTTATCTTTATTTCCAAAATGTTTTTTAATTTTTTTTTTGTTTTCGAATTGACTGAACTATGCACTAAAACAAAAATTTGATTGTTACGTAAATGTTCTGAAAAAATACTAACCAATCTAAGTAAAAGAAACTTGCTCCATCCCTTACCTTTCCTTTCTCTATTTTTTCTTCCCTACAAGTTCTTATTCATAAGTTTTCTGAAAAATAATGTATACAATAATTTCAAGTTATGAAAAATAAAATACTTGGTTATGAGTTTGCAGACAATTAACGATGTAGTTCTTGGAGTAACAGAAGCTGGCATTTCAAAGTATCTCAACAGGAGATATGGTGAGTTTTCATATCTCAGATTACTTCCAACAATAGCCAAATTAGTGACTCTTTCAATCAATAGTTTAGACGTTGCATATTAAGCTTAGAGAAATATTTGTCTGTCTGTCTTTGATTTTGTTTTATTAACCACGTGCGGTTCAGAATCGCAAGTAAAGGAGGGTGAGGAGAGAATTTGTATTGCATGTCGAAAAATTTGGACTTTCCGAAGTTGGTTTATAAGGTTGAGGGCCGTTCCACCAAAAAACCAATTTGTATGGATAGAAAATTACCAAACTTACCCATCTTTAGCCCAGAATCTGACCCGCTCGGAAGAAAGCATGTTGAAGTAGCACACATAGGATTGAGTGGGTCATTCTAACACTGATAAATTCTCCAACATGGCAGGTGAGGGAAAAAACCAGGGGGAAGCGGTGAAGAAAAATAACCTTCCGAAGAACATTCGTCTTAGAGCAACGTTTTTCATGAATTTAAGACCGTCTGCAGGGATTTATGTAAGTGATTATTTCTTGTTAATTACCACTAGTTCGTTTAGGGCAGCCTAACAAAGGGATATATAACACGGATCCAAATCCAGATCCTCTCAAATATACATTTTATCATTGATAGATCACTCAATATGTATTCAAAAAAAATTGAGGAAAAAAGGGTTAGAGGAGATCTCACTCCATGTATAATATGTAGGTAAATATCTAGCATTAAAATATATAGTAGCTGAGTTGTATAACAGATAGGTACATATCCGGTGTAATAATATGATGGTACCCACCCATGGTACTGATCGGGGTTTGATACAAAATTTATTCTCAAACATTTTTAGAGGTGAGCCTGGGCACAATATAAATGTTACTTCATAGGAAAGTAAGACTGCATATGTTTACATGAAACCATTCTTAAACTGGAGTCTCTCGTATACTCGACTGCAATTATTATTTTTAGTAAACTTGTATATCATCCTTATCCTATTCTTTTCTCACGTGTTTGGTATTCAGGATCTAGTTAATATGATGGAGAAGGGTACAAAGGCCAGATGGGGTAACAAGATCGGTTATGTCATCCTCCCCTTCACCATTGCATTCCGAGAGGATCCATTGGAGTATGTAAGGGAAGCTAATGCGATTATGAGTCAAAAGAAGACTTCACTTGAAGCTATTTATAGTCACTGGATTGTTAAGTTAATCCTCAAGTTGTTTGGCATTAAGGTAAATAAATCATCATACCGGACGGCCAGATGTAAACAATGACCTAAGATAATTTTATTAACATTTAGCCCCCTAAAACCTAAGGAACAATTATTTTTACTAAATGTGGCTTTCTTATTGTTTTTAGGTCTTAAAAACCATGTTTTTGCATATAGTACTGCAAAATATTTCTGGGACTTTGTCATAATATTTTGTTTATAAAATAAGTCAAATTATATAGTTTGATAGAATCCAATATATATTTTTTCATTTGGGAATACTAGGCGGCCATCTTATTGGCCGATAGCTTAAACACACTTTTGTAATAACTTCAATAGCATTGACAACTCCAGATATAAAAACAACTATCCCTCTTTGAATCCAATCACATGTAGAAGAATTTAACTTAGAGCTAGTATCATGAATACTTGTGAAGAGAAGTTCAATTTCTCCTTTATACGGCTGCAAATGAGTCGAACTGTTCGGGAATAACTTGGTATTGGTCCTGAAAAATCTTATTAAAATTCACTTATTTATTAAATGAATTGAGTTCGAGCTTAATTTTAAAGCTTGTTTAATAATTGAGTTGGGTCCACACAATAACTTGTTTGGCTCGTAAATAAATATGATACTAAACATTAGGGTCAGACCCCCTGGTTTTTTTTATAATCTTTTCACCTATTTCTTTTTCGTTTTCACCTAATCGCTTAAGACATTAAATAAAAAAAATATTAGGTAGTAAAAATAATCATGTTTGAAAAAATTTGAAGAAATAGTTGTTAGTTAGTACTTAGTAGGGACTTGAGGAGTGGTTACAAAGGACATATGGTGTACTATGATTCAAGGGAATTTTAGTTTGGTAATTAAATAAATCAAAACTCTAGGAATTTAGAAAAGAGGGAGGGAAGACTCTTCAAGTCTTCTCCCATCTAATTTGTTAGTTTTATATATATTATAATAGCGGGCGCCTCGTGTGATACACATAATTTATAACTCTGTTTTGCTCCACCTCATTCATTCACACCCTTCCAAACTCTCTATTTTCCTGTCACACAAATGAGTAGTTCAAGAATTATTAAAATTTATAAGGGATTGAAACTGAATTTTCTTTTAAAAAAAATAAATTGAATGAAGGGTGGTTAATTGGTAATATAGTGAAAAGATAATTATATTGGCTAAATGTTGGTTGTTGATTAAAGAATACCTAACTTCAAAATTAATTAAATAAAAATTCTAGAAATTAAGAAAAGTAGAAGGGAAAACTTCTCAAGTCATCTCTCCTAAAAATACCAAAGAACAAGAACCAAATGTTCTGGAGTTGATAAAAAAATGTTTTTTTGCCTCATTTTTATTTATTTAAAATTTGAATTTTTATTTGTCGTATCAACGTCTCATCATTTAGCCTCTATTATCGATCTCTTTTTAACTCAATGGAGTATTACCCGGAATAAATGGTTTAGATTGAAAGAACTTCCTTTAAATAGCTGGAATACTTTTTTGGTTCAAGAATTAGTAACATAAATGAGTTTTTAGTGATTATAGAGTAGTTAAAAACTCACTTTCAACCTTGATGAGCAGGCTGCAGGCAAGCTTTCCCACAAGGTTTTTTCTAACACAACACTGTGGTTCTCAAACGTACCTGGACCCCAAGAAGAAGTTGCGTTTTTCGGCCATCCGGTAGCCTATATTGCTCCGACTTGTTATGGACAGCCCAACGTATGTTCTCATTCTTTGTGGCATCAAATTTGTTTTTGCAACACACACACAAACACACCCATATTTATATCCACCATGAATTAGGAGGAAGGGTAGGTATCAAGTGATTTACAGAAAATGCATAGATGAAAAAGTTAGACATGACTAAATATCCAAGTTATAGCATGGATCACGGAACAGTATCATGGTGTCGTGGAATGATGACTAGGATGACTTGGTTGAGTCAGCCAAGATGTCTTTAAATCAATCACGTGTCGAGTTGTATTAGTCTCAATATATATGTATATTTATGTGGGTTTGTTTTGTATTAATCCCTGCCAATCAACGTGTATTTTAGGCACTGATGATTCATGTGGTTAGTTATGTGGACAAATTGACGTTCGTTCTATCAGCCGATGAAGAAACTATTCCAGACCCACATCAGCTGTGTGATGATCTTGAAGATTCACTCAAGCTCGTCATGGCTGCCGTCATAGCAAAACAAACCCACAAGGTGTGAATGCAAGAGGATGAACACCGCCCTGGCCGTAACCCTGACACCTCCTCTTGTATTAAGAATAATATTATTTGAATGTAATTTACCCTTTGTTTGATAGCAGGTTTCAAATAGTATTTCTGATTTACTAATGGTACATCAGGGGAATATGTGTGATGTATGTCATGTATGTGTGTGTACTTAAGAAGGTTGGGTTGTATGCTAGTTATATTTGCGTGGGTGTGAATAAAGAAGGTTGAGTTGTATGTGGTGTATGATGTGTATGATTTAGCATTTGCCTTTTCACATTCATTGCTCTCCCACAAGTCATTCTCTAATTCTTGTCTGGGTTAAGAGAGAGTCCAGACATTACTTTGAAAGAGTTAAGACAATCTTTAATAATGAAAATAGACCCTATTTATCTTTCACAAAAAAGAGTCAAATTATCTGCAAAACAACAATGAGAGATCTTTACATTTTTATATTGAACATGATACTTGAAATAACCTTGTTGCACCGCTCTTATCAAAAGCCCACAGAAAATTGGAATAATCAAGACAAAGAGGTAAGGCGACATTGGGTCGACCTTGCCTTAGCCCTCGCCCCCAAGGAAGTAGTCTTTCAGTTTTCCATGTTTAGGTCGCCTTTTTTCTTTTTTTCCTTTTTTGACAATGAAGAGGTATTTGGGTATTTTTAATAATGGGCAATATATATTTCATATATGATAAACTAACATTTAGAAATAAGTTCGGACTCAAATTTAAGAGCATCCAATTTTGACTCAAATTTAAATTTGAGTCAAAATAGCTTAAAAGTTTTTTCAATCTTAGGCCAAAACGTATAATAAATTAAAGAAAAATTTATTTTAAACTTAAATTGAAGGAGAGTCAAATCCTATATCAAATTTTTAATGTTAACTTTTTATCTATCGTGTACAAACACCCTGGACCATTAATTCTTTGTTAACCTCTTGATATATGAATGCCTTGCACCAAGCACTCCTAAGCAACTCTTCGGGGAGGTAAGCTTCTCTGATAACTTTTGCAGCTGACAAAGCTATTGCCAGAACCACCCAACACACCACCATATCCACCCAACCCACCACCGTCAGCATGTAGATCTTTCTCCTACCACCCTTCCAACACCACCATCAAACCCTCCATCCTCACCTTCGACACTACCAATACGACCACCAACTCATCTACCAAACAACCACAACTAGATTACCCCTCCAAAACTAGACCCACCCAGCCTACCACTAGATTCCTCACCACAACTAGATCTACTGCTAATACTCCTCCACACCACCATCAAGTTCTTAACTTTCTCCTCGTATTTCCACCACCCCTATTCTAGATCTGTTCACCCACTACAGATCGTCGGTCAGAACAGAGTTGTTGCTGGTTTTGGCCTGGAGCCACAATGGACACCTCCCCATCTCCAAACCATGTGAGATCATCCCTCAATGCCCTAATCTCTGATGTCCTCTACATTTCCACATCTCTTGCACCCAAATCTCAAGTCCTAAATTCTTGGAATTTTCCCCTTTTCCTCCCCCTCCAAATCTATCCACCGTTTTCATCCTTCTATACCATATACCATAACCTCATAATCTCACCATTTATGCTATCTATCGATTTTTCCCCCTGTCAATTTCATCGATATGTTCAGGGAAGTAAATACTTGGTACGACAATCTAGCTCTGCACAAGCTCCCCCATCCGAGGTTGAGGCCGACCAATCCAATCCAGTTGTGGGCATGGAACCTGAAGCTAGCATCCATAGTAAAGAAGGTAATGCTAGAACAAACCAATCTGGAGGAGCAAAGGTTGACAAATCCATCTCTCTCACGGTACCAACTGAAGTGGCTAATGAACCACAAGGTATGAACCATCATCTCAAGCAGAATGATAAAACTAACACTAGATGGAGCCAAGTGTTAAAATTTGGACAGACAAGAGCATCTTCAGGATCTAAGAATGGAGTACCAATAGAGACCTTGCCCTAGGGGATGAAACTCCAGTTTTTTACACCGCAAAAGAAGAATGATAGGTTAGTGGTTCAACCCCCTAAAGAGGTTGGGAAAAAGGGCAGCCTTGAATGGAAAAATTACTTAGTTGGATACTTCGTAGAAAAGAAGCTGCCTTACTCGACGGTAAACTTCTTAGCTCATAAGAATTGGTACAAGATGGGGTTGCTTGAGGTGTTGGGAAATGACAAAGGATTCTATTTTTTCAAATTTATGAATGAGGAATCAAGAATGACAGTGTTTGAGGCAAGACCATGGCTTCTCATAGGCAGGCCAATCATATTGAAATGCTGGCAACCTGATATGTTGCTTACAAAGGAGGACCACTCCTCCATTCCCGTTTGGCTGAAGTTCTACAACATTTCATTACAATTTTGGAATGAGGACGGATTTAGCCATATAGCCAGTGTAGTTGGGAAACCCATCTATGCAAGGATATGTGTTGAGGTGGATGCTAAGACTCCTCTCATTGACTCCTTTGACTTGAAAATNCTCTATTTATCTTTCACAAAAAAGAGTCAAATTATCTGCAAAACAACAATGAGAGATCTTTACATTTTGATATTGAACATGATACTTGAAATAATCTTGTTGCACCGCTCTTATCAAAAGCCCACAAAAAATTGGAATAATCAAGACAAAGAGGTAAGGCGACATTGGGACGACCTTACCTTAGCCCTCGCCCCCAAGGAAGTAGTCTTTCAGTTTTCCATGTTTAGGTCGCCTTTTTTCTTTTTTTCCTTTTTTGACAATGAAGAGGTATTTGGGTATTTTTAATAATGGGCAATATATATTTCATATATGATAAACTAACATTTAGAAATAAGTTCGGACTCAAATTTAAGAGCATCCAATTTTGACTCAAATTTAAATTTGAGTCAAAATAGCTTAAATTTTTTTTCAATCTTAGGCCAAAACGTATAATAAATTAAAGAAAAATTTATTTTAAACTTAAATTGAAGGAGAGTCAAATCCTATATCAAATTTTTAATGTTAACTTTTTATCTATCGTGTACAAACACCCTGGACCATTAATTCTTTGTTAACCTCTTGATATATGAATGCCTTGCACCAAGCACTCCTAAGCAACTCTTCGGGGAGGTAAGCTTCTCTGATAACTTTTGCAGCTGACAAAGCTATTGCCAGAACCACCCAACACACCACCATATCCACCCAACCCACCACCGTCAGCATGTAGATCTTTCTCCTACCACCCTTCCAACACCACCATCAAACCCTCCATCCTCACCTTCGACACTACCAATACGACCACCAACTCATCTACCAAACAACCACAACTAGATTACCCCTCCAAAACTAGACCCACCCAGCCTACCACTAGATTCCTCACCACAACTAGATCTACTGCTAATACTCCTCCACACCACCATCAAGCTCTTAACTTTCTCCTCGTATTTCCACCACCCCTATTCTAGATCTGTTCACCCACTACAGATCGTCGGTCAGAACAGAGTTGTTGCTGGTTTTGGCCTGGAGCCACAATGGACACCTCCCCATCTCCAAACCATGTGAGATCATCCCTCAATGCCCTAATCTCTGATGTCCTCTACATTTCCACATCTCTTGCACCCAAATCTCAAGTCCTAAATTCTTGGAATTTTCCCCTTTTCCTCCCCCTCCAAATCTATCCACCGTTTTCATCCTTCTATACCATATACCATAACCTCATAATCTCACCATTTATGCTATCTATCGATTTTTCCCCCTGTCAATTTCATCGATATGTTCAGGGAAGTAAATACCTGGTACGACAATCTAGCTCTGCACAAGCTCCCCCATCCGAGGTTGAGGCCGACCAATCCAATCCAGTTGTGGGCATGGAACCTGAAGCTAGCATCCATAGTAAAGAAGGTAATGCTAGAACAAACCAATCTGGAGGAGCAAAGGTTGACAAATCCATCTCTCTCACGGTACCAACTGAAGTGGCTAATGAACCACAAGGTATGAACCATCATCTCAAGCAGAATGATAAAACTAACACTAGATGGAGCCAAGTGTTAAAATTTGGACAGACAAGAGCATCTTCAGGATCTAAGAATGGAGTACCAATAGAGACCTTGCCCTAGGGGATGAAACTCCAGTTTTTTACACCGCAAAAGGAGAATGATATGTTAGTGGTTCAACCCCCTAAAGAGGTTGGAAAAAAGGGCAGCCTTGAATGGAAAAATTGCTTAGTTGGATACTTCGTAGAAAAGAAGTTGCCTTACTCGACGGTAAACTTCTTAGCTCATAAGAATTGGTACAAGATGGGGTTGCTTGAGGTGTTGGGAAATAACAAAGGATTCTATTTTTTCAAATTTATGAATGAGGAATCAAGAATGACAGTGTTTGAGGCAAGGCCATGGCTTCTCGTAGGCAGGCCAATCATATTGAAATGCTGGCAACCTGATATGTTGCTTACAAAGGAGGACCACTCCTCCATTCCCGTTTGGCTGAAGTTCTACAACATTTCATTACAATTTTGGAATGAGGACGGATTTAGCCATATAGCCAGTGTAGTTGGGAAACCCATCTATGCAAGGATATGTGTTGAGGTGGATGCTAAGACTCCTCTCATTGACTCCTTTGACTTGAAAATGGATGTTGATGATAAGGAGTTAATTACGGAAATTAAAGTTGACTACCAATGGAAGCCTAAGGTGTGCAATGTTTGCAAAGTTTTTGGGCATAGTGATGCTACTTGCCCAATATTGACAGGGAATGGAATATGGAAGCCTAAACAATCCGCACAGAATGTTACAAATGATATAAACGAGAAAGGCAAAGCCATAATGACTGTAGTGGAATTGGCTACCAAGGAATATTCTAATGATCCAAAATGTAGCTACGATGATCAAGATCAAGCTCAAAGTGATTTGGCAGAGCAGACCATTCAAGAGGATATTCAGGTAACTTCTATAGTCATCATTGACTGCCATCATATTGTTTCAAATCCAGAACCTGTTTCGGCTTCAAATAGATTTAGTAATCTAGAAATTGAGGGAGGTCAACTTGTTGTGGAACTCAATGCCCAGTCAGAAAACTTAGANCTTTTTTCTTTTTTTCCTTTTTTGACAATGAAGAGGTATTTGGGTATTTTTAATAATGGGCAATATATATTTCATATATGATAAACTAACATTTAGAAATAAGTTCGGACTCAAATTTAAGAGCATCCAATTTTGACTCAAATTTAAATTTGAGTCAAAATAGCTTAAAAGTTTTTTCAATCTTAGGCCAAAACGTATAATAAATTAAAGAAAAATTTATTTTAAACTTAAATTGAAGGAGAGTCAAATCCTATATCAAATTTTTAATGTTAACTTTTTATCTATCGTGTACAAACACCCTGGACCATTAATTCTTTGTTAACCTCTTGATATATGAATGCCTTGCACCAAGCACTCCTAAGCAACTCTTCGGGGAGGTAAGCTTCTCTGATAACTTTTGCAGCTGACAAAGCTATTGCCAGAACCACCCAACACACCACCATATCCACCCAACCCACCACCGTCAGCATGTAGATCTTTCTCCTACCACCCTTCCAACACCACCATCAAACCCTCCATCCTCACCTTCGACACTACCAATACGACCACCAACTCATCTACCAAACAACCACAACTAGATTACCCCTCCAAAACTAGACCCACCCAGCCTACCACTAGATTCCTCACCACAACTAGATCTACTGCTAATACTCCTCCACACCACCATCAAGCTCTTAACTTTCTCCTCGTATTTCCACCACCCCTATTCTAGATCTGTTCACCCACTACAGATCGTCGGTCAGAACAGAGTTGTTGCTGGTTTTGGCCTGGAGCCACAATGGACACCTCCCCATCTCCAAACCATGTGAGATCATCCCTCAATGCCCTAATCTCTGATGTCCTCTACATTTCCACATCTCTTGCACCCAAATCTCAAGTCCTAAATTCTTGGAATTTTCCCCTTTTCCTCCCCCTCCAAATCTATCCACCGTTTTCATCCTTCTATACCATATACCATAACCTCATAATCTCACCATTTATGCTATCTATCGATTTTTCCCCCTGTCAATTTCATCGATATGTTCAGGGAAGTAAATACCTGGTACGACAATCTAGCTCTGCACAAGCTCCCCCATCCGAGGTTGAGGCCGACCAATCCAATCCAGTTGTGGGCATGGAACNATAGATGGTCTCAGGCTATGAAGGATTTTGAAGATTGTATACAAGGGGCTCAACTAGTGGAATTAAGGTACTCTGGTATCTTTTTTACATGGAGGAACAAAAGAGAAGGGGAAGCCTGCATTGCCAGAAAACTCGACAGAGTCTTTGTTAATGAAAAATGGACCCAACAATTTGAGCACTCGGGGGTTGAATTTTTACAATCAGGCATATCAAACCATAGTCGTGTGTTAATCTAAATGGGAGAAGCCAATAGGAGAAGAAAGTGCCCTTTTAAATTCTTTAACTACCTTGCAGACATAGAAGACTTCTTACTAACTGTTGCAGCTATTTGGAATGAAGATAATTAGGGATGCTTTCAATTTAATGTGTCCTGCAGGCTAAAGAAACTCAACCATACTGAAGGATAAAAGTAAGGAGTTGGGGGATGGGTCTGTGAAGGTGAAAGAGAAGAGGGTTGCCCTTGAGAACTGCCAAAGAAGGCTTGACACCAATCCATCTGATCCTGCACTAAGGGCTGTGGAGAAGCAACTATTAGTATAATACTCAGTAGCTGCCAGAAATGAAGAAATTTTTTTCAAACAAAAATCAAGGGTTTTGTGGCTCAAGGAAGGAGATCAAAACACTGCCTTCTTCTTTAAAACTATGACAAGTAGAATGAGCAAAAAGAAAGTCATTAATGTTAAGGAAGCAAATGGAATGGACATTGAGGGAAATGCTGTTATTAAGGAAGAAGCTACAAGGTTCTTTATTCAGCTATTGGGAGGTAATGTGGATACTTCTAATTCTGAAGCAAGAAGAAACCNCAAAACACTATCCTCTGGCACGATAACTGGCATCATCCTCGGGGTCCCCTTTTGTTGAAATGGAGTAGTAATATAATTCAGGTTTCAGAATTACCAAGGGATGCAAAGGTTAGCAACATTGTAAGGAATAATCTATGGCAATGGCCTCACACAGGAACTGTTGAACTTCGGGAAACTGAACAAACCATGCCCACTTACCAACCATGTCAGGAAAGATGAGATGTTGATAAATGGATTCCTGCCCCAAATGGCACTTTCTCCTTAACCTCTGCCTAGGATCAAGTGAGAGTTCATTCTCCTAAAGTGCCTTGGGTTCATTTGGTGTGGTATAACCAAGCTATTCCTAGGATGAGCTTTATTCTTTGGCTAGCTATTAGAACAAGGCTTTGCACAAAGGAGAGAACTCAAGTTTATACAAATAATATGGGGATGGAATGTGTTCTATGTAGACAAGCTGATGAGACCCATTCTCATATATTTTTTGAATGTCATTTCCCATGGAGCATACGGAGACAATTGCTTCAGCTCACTGGTGAGCAAGGACAACTTAACTCTTGGTAGCATCTGGTAAGTCATGCGATCCAAAACTGGAAGGGCAAATCCATGGTGAGTGTGTTGAGAAGACTTTGTTTGGCTGTGAATATGTATTATATATAGAGGGAACGAAATAACAGAATCCATCAAAACCAAGTGAGAGACCACAAGTCCTTGTTAAACCTCATTGTGCAGACAGTTGGGGACAGAATGTCTTCGGCCAAGTTCAAAACCTATCAGTTGAACATGTGGTTATTTCAAATGTGGCGTCTGTCTAGTTCGTGCATAAGGTGACTTGTGCCTCTATGCTTTTGTAATTGTTCTAACTGATGCCTTAGAAACAAGATTCTCTTGAAAGTGCTAGCTTCAAGGCTGGCACTTTCCTCGAAATTTGGTAACTTGGTATTGGTATTGTCTTTTTTGGTGTTTTGTTTCCATGTTGCTGGAGCAGTAGGTGATGCCTACTATTGATGGAGGGCAACCCTCTCTTATGTACATGTTTTTAATCTTTTATCAATACATATCAGCTCACTTTCTGAATTTTTTTTTTATCTATCTTAACCCAAAAGACTCATTCCACGGCAGAAGTTCTTGCATCTTCCCCCTCTCTGCCTCTATTCTTCGACGGTAACTTTTTACTCTCTCTCTCTCCCCTTTTTTACCTTTTTTTTTCCCTCTCATAAACTCTCTCTTGTATCTCATACTTGGTAAAAAATTTATGAATCTACCAGTTAAAGAGNACAAGTTCTTGCATCTCCCCCCTCTCTGCCTCTATTCTTCGACGGTAACTTTTTACTCTCTCTCTCTCCCCTTTTTTACCTTTTTTTTTTCCTCTCATAAACTCTCTCTTGTATCTCATACTTGGTAAAAAATTTATGAATCTACCAGTTAAAGAGGTTGGTATTCTTGTCTTTTATTTTGGTTAATATTAGTGAAGTTTGTAAGAAATAAGTTTTAATATTTGATAAAATATTTTGGTGGGAAAAACTAAAAAAAAACATTTGGGACAATAAGGAAATTTTTAAAAGATTTGAGTAGATATTTAAGTTTATCAATTGGAATGATTTATATTAAATTAAGTTTTTTATTTAAATTGAGACTCAAATTTAAATTTAAATTTAAGTCATTAGTTGGAGATGCCGTAAAAACCAAGTGTAGTTTTTGTGAAGTTTTTCTGATTTTAACTAGAGCGTTCATTTTGACTTTNTTAGACTCAAATTTAAATTTAAATTTAAGTCATTAGTTGGAGATGCCGTAAAAAAAAGTGTAGTTTTTGTGAAGTTTTTCTGATTTTAACTAGAGCGTTCATTTTGACTTTCTTTGCCATTGTGGGTAGTGAGCATCTTGCGAAGTTGGATTTTCTAGAAGATAAATATTTGGGATGGTCCAGAATAGGGTGGGGAGAGCATAAAATCTAGCCCATAGACCATATTCACCTGGCCCAGACCTATCATTTGGAATTTTGTATTATTCTTCCTGATTCTCCAAACTCTAATATAGGACGACATAATGACCACACCCCCATTGTTGAATTTTAAGATCGGGTTCAAACCTCATTGTCCCATTTTAGGTGATTGACACGTGAGCAAAGCTATTAACAATTTTTTGACGAACGTTTGAGAGTAGAGTACGTAGATACAAATTAAAAAATTTAGAGATTAAATAAACACAATTGAAAGATTGAGAAACAAATTGACACTACACATATAATTTGAGGACTAAAAGTGTATTTTACCCAAAAGAAGAATAAAAAAAAACTCTCTTGAACAATGCCTAAGCATTACTCTAAAGACTCTAAACTATCTTGAACACATTCTCTTGTCAAAACGTAATTATACCATTAAGGAAAGGATTCCTTAGCCTATTAGGAAACCTAGTTAGAAACAAATTGGGGAATAATTACTGCCTATTTATAATTGTCATCCACTTACTTTTCCAGATCCCCCACCACATAATTGTTTTAACCAATATCTCCATTGTTGACCCATACTTACCCTTAGACTTNACAAGTAGAATGAGCAAAAAGAAAGTCATTAATGTTAAGGAAGCAAATGGAATGGACATTGAGGGAAATGCTGTTATTAAGGAAGAAGCTACAAGGTTCTTTATTCAGCTATTGGGAGGTAATGTGGATACTTCTAATTCTGAAGCAAGAAGAAACCTGCTAGAATCCCTTCCTATGGTTAGGATCAATGACCAAGAAGCTGCTTAGATGGTGAGTCAGGTTACAAATGAAGAGATTAAAGAAGTGTTTTTCTTGTTTGATGATATGAAAGCTCCAGGCCTTGATGGATTCAATTCATATTTTTACAAGAAAGCTTGGCCTGTTGTGGGAAGGGAGGTGACTATAGTTGTTGAGGAGTTCTTTAGGAATGACAGTCTTCTGAGAGATGAATACCACTATCATTGCTCTTGTCCCAAAAAACCAAAACCCCTCAGAAATGGGTGACTTCAGACCAATCTCATGTTGTAATGTCTTGTACAAAGTCATTTCAAAGATACTTGCAAATAGAATCAATTGTGTGCTCCCTGGAATTATTGGGCCAAATCAGGCAACTTTCATTCCCAGGAGGAAGATCAGTGATAATATCCTCCTTACTCAGGAACTACTTAGGGATTATCACAAGCAAAAGGGGTCACCAAGATTCGCCATCAAAGTTGATATTATGAAGGCATATGATACCATTAATTGGGGATTCTCACTAGAAGGATTAGAAATATTTGGTATTCCTTATTAGATGAGGAAGTGGATCCACACTTGCATCACTACACCTAGATTCTCCATCAACATAAATGGAGAACTTGCTGGGTTTTCCTAGCTCCAGAGGCCTTCGACAAGGAGATCCGCTCTCTCCTTACTTATTTGTGATGGCTATGGAAGTTCTTAATGCTATCATCTGCAAAATGATCTCTTCTAACTCTTCCTTCAAGTATCATTACAGGTGCAAGAAACTAAAGCTAACTCATTTAACTTTTGCAATGACCTGTTCTTGTTCAGCTATGGAGATTTGAACTCTGTGAGCTATCTAAAGGATGCACTATTAATATTCCAAGAATTTTATGGTATGCGAGCAAACTCAGCAAAAAGTAACGTCTTCTTAGCAGCTGTCCTGGAGGAAATTAGAAGTCAAATAATTGTGATGATTGGATTTCCAGAAAGCAACTTTCCAATCAAGTATTTGGGGCTGCCTTTGGTGACAACTTTACTCAAAGCCCTTCATTGTACGTTATTGATTGAGAAGATTGAGTCAAGGGTTAGAAGTTGGACAAACGAGTTTCTATCTTTTGCTGGTAGACTACAATTGATTAAGTCAGTTCTTAACAACACCCAAATTTTCTGGGCTTCCATTTTATACCTCCCCCAGCAAGTGATTGACATAATTGAGAAAATCATGAGAGCTTTCTTTTGGAATGGGTAAAAAAAAAGGGCCTCAGGAGCTAAAGTTGATGTTTGCAAGCCAAAAGATGAAGGTGGTCTAAGTATAAGAAAAATAAGGGACTGCAATAATGCTTATATGCTGAGATTCATATGGTTGTTATTCATTGACAAAGAAGGTTTGTGGGCCAAGTGGATTAACTCTTATTATCTCAAAGGCAAGAGTCTATGGGAGGTTAGGATTCCACAAAGTTGCTCATGGAACTGGCTTAATTTGTTGAAGCTAAGAACAATTTGTAGAACCCAAATACTTCACAACGTTGGAGATGGACAAAACACTATCCTCTGGCACGATAACTGGCATCATCCTCGGGGTCCCCTTTTGTTGAAATGGAGTAGTAATATAATTCAGGTTTCAGAATTACCAAGGGATGCAAAGGTTAGCAACATTGTAAGGAATAATCTATGGCAATGGCCTCACACAGGAACTGTTGAACTTCGGGAAACTGAACAAACCATGCCCACTTACCAACCATGTCAGGAAAGATGAGATGTTGATAAATGGATTCCTGCCCCAAATGGCACTTTCTCCTTAACCTCTGCCTAGGATCAAGTGAGAGTTCATTCTCCTAAAGTGCCTTGGGTTCATTTGGTGTGGTATAACCAAGCTATTCCTAGGATGAGCTTTATTCTTTGGCTAGCTATTAGAACAAGGCTTTGCACAAAGGAGAGAACTCAAGTTTATACAAATAATATGGGGATGGAATGTGTTCTATGTAGACAAGCTGATGAGACCCATTCTCATATATTTTTTGAATGTCATTTCCCATGGAGCATACGGAGACAATTGCTTCAGCTCACTGGTGAGCAAGGACAACTTAACTCTTGGTAGCATCTGGTAAGTCATGCGATCCAAAACTGGAAGGGCAAATCCATGGTGAGTGTGTTGAGAAGACTTTGTTTGGCTGTGAATATGTATTATATATAGAGGGAACGAAATAACAGAATCCATCAAAACCAAGTGAGAGACCACAAGTCCTTGTTAAACCTCATTGTGCAGACAGTTGGGGACAGAATGTCTTCGGCCAAGTTCAAAACCTATCAGTTGAACATGTGGTTATTTCAAATGTGGCGTCTGTCTAGTTCGTGCATAAGGTGACTTGTGCCTCTATGCTTTTGTAATTGTTCTAACTGATGCCTTAGAAACAAGATTCTCTTGAAAGTGCTAGCTTCAAGGCTGGCACTTTCCTCGAAATTTGGTAACTTGGTATTGGTATTGTCTTTTTTGGTGTTTTGTTTCCATGTTGCTGGAGCAGTAGGTGATGCCTACTATTGATGGAGGGCAACCCTCTCTTATGTACATGTTTTTAATCTTTTATCAATACATATCAGCTCACTTTCTGAATTTTTTTTTTATCTATCTTAACCCAAAAGACTCATTCCACGGCACAAGTTCTTGCATCTCCCCCCTCTCTGCCTCTATTCTTCGACGGTAACTTTTTACTCTCTCTCTCTCCCCTTTTTTACCTTTTTTTTTTCCTCTCATAAACTCTCTCTTGTATCTCATACTTGGTAAAAAATTTATGAATCTACCAGTTAAAGAGGTTGGTATTCTTGTCTTTTATTTTGGTTAATATTAGTGAAGTTTGTAAGAAATAAGTTTTAATATTTGATAAAATATTTTGGTGGGAAAAACTAAAAAAAAACATTTGGGACAATAAGGAAATTTTTAAAAGATTTGAGTAGATATTTAAGTTTATCAATTGGAATGATTTATATTAAATTAAGTTTTTTATTTAAATTGAGACTCAAATTTAAATTTAAATTTAAGTCATTAGTTGGAGATGCCGTAAAAACCAAGTGTAGTTTTTGTGAAGTTTTTCTGATTTTAACTAGAGCGTTCATTTTGACTTTCTTTGCCATTGTGGGTAGTGAGCATCTTGCGAAGTTGGATTTTCTAGAAGATAAATATTTGGGATGGTCCAGAATAGGGTGGGGAGAGCATAAAATCTAGCCCATAGACCATATTCACCTGGCCCAGACCTATCATTTGGAATTTTGTATTATACTTCCTGATTTTCCAAACTCTAATATAGGACGACATAATGACCACACCCCCATTGTTGAATTTTAAGATCGGGTTCAAACCTCATTGTCCCATTTTAGGTGATTGACACGTGAGCAAAGCTATTAACAATTTTTTGACGAACGTTTGAGAGTAGAGTACGTAGATACAAATTAAAAAATTTAGAGATTAAATAAACACAATTGAAAGATTGAGAAACAAATTGACACTACACATATAATTTGAGGACTAAAAGTGTATTTTACCCAAAAGAAGAATAAAAAAAAACTCTCTTGAACAATGCCTAAGCATTACTCTAAAGACTCTAAACTATCTTGAACACATTCTCTTGTCAAAACGTAATTATACCATTAAGGAAAGGATTCCTTAGCCTATTAGGAAACCTAGTTAGAAACAAATTGGGGAATAATTACTGCCTATTTATAATTGTCATCCACTTACTTTTCCAGATCCCCCACCACATAATTGTTTTAACCAATATCTCCATTGTTGACCCATACTTACCCTTAGACTTTGTTGAGGAAATCATAGATAACGCTTTCGATTTGGGGCTTTCGATGGTAGACAATTTTCAGAATATGGAAAGAAACATACTCTCAATGATCGTGAAAATTAGAGTACTTTTTATCGTACCCTCAATTGACAGGGACGAGGAGGAGGAAATTGCTTCTATCAGATCAGCAACGAAATCATCTATTGAAGTATTGAAGAAGGTGACACTCAAACTCGATGATTCTTGTTCAAAAAGAGAATGTGCAATTTGTTTGGAGACGTTTTGTGCGGGGTTGGAGGTCACTCGCATGCCATGCTCGCATATGTTTCATGGCAATTGCATTGCCCGATGGTTGGAGAAGAGTAGCTTGTGTCCCCTATGCCGCTTTGCCATGCCTGTTCACTAAATTTCCAGTTAAAAAAAAAAAAAACTGCTATTTGTGTTTGTTGGTCAAGTGAGTGTTAAATTCCAATAACCCGTTTAACATGCATTAGTTTTTTTTTTTTTAATTTCATGAATTAATATTGTATGAATTTTTTTTACAATTGAAAGATTTTTGATTTGAAACGGTTTGGTTTTGTCTCAAGTCGATTTGTAGTTTATGAAAGACTCATAGCAAATGAATTTGGTTGAAAGAGAAAATGACATAGGTCTTATAATTTTTGATTCGCGGTTTACACAAATACGATATGGACAGAAAATGATACAATCCAAAATGCTATAGGGGATTTAGTATTTTTTTTTTTTTTTGAACTATGTTTGTGTTGTTTGTTGTCACTGCACTGGTGTTGAACAATCTCCTAAATTTTTAATACAGCGGCTTTATTTTATTTACCTGTCCAACTTTTTAGTTTATTTTTTAGTAGTTTAATCTTGTATAAATCAAAGATTAAATTTTTTATATTGCACCCTCAATGTATCAAAAGTGTTACAATGTAACCATTTTTTTAGTTTCAATTATTTTTTTGTCAAAAGTCAATCCATTGACATTGACAAAAAATCTAATGAAAATTTAACCAGAACGCTTACATTGCAACACACTTTTGATGAGTGTAATATAAAAATATTAATCTTTGATAGTACAAAGTGAAAATTTTGAAATGTTTTTAGGGTACAAAGTGTATTTCACCCATAAAAAAAGGTAATGGTTTTACCCCCGAAAACATTTTCCTAAGAAAAGATCATACTCTTTTCTTTTTTGATCTAGAAAAGATCACACTTTCAATGACAAAATTTTTGTAAGCAATTGAATTCCTATTTACCCTTTTCCCTAGGATTTACATTAATTAACCACAAATTTTCAGTCAATTTTTAAGTTTTTTTATATATGAATAACTAAGATAAGATACACTTGAAGGTACAGTGCAATGTGAATGATTTTGAAAGAAATGTTAATGATTGTTGAATGAGTTTATTTAATATCGTCGAATGAACTTATTAAAATCTGTCTTATTTTCTATTATAGATTAGTGAAATAAATTATTTTGAAATGGTGGCTTTTTGTCAAATACAACCCCCCCCCCCCCACGACTTTTAATTGCACATTATGAAAGCACAGGAAACCTAATTTTAAATGAAATAAAGAAGATACGGATCCACCACATAAAAAATACTTGAAAAATACATTGACCGATATATGTGGGGGTATGAGCAATGCTGTTTGGACATTATTTAAGGACGTAATAATTGTGGTCATTGAATTGTCAGTGGTCTCAACATTGAATACACTTCATTATCAATCTAATGATCACAAGTAAGTTTTTAAATTATGTCCCAATAGCATTAATGGTGGGTGTATATATACATGTATATTTTAACCTAATTTTTATATGCATAATTATCAAAATGAACCGGGTTAACCTATAACTTCTTAATGAAAATTAAAAATTCAATTCAAATTTTTTTGAGAAAAAAAATTATATTTATACGTAATTGAAGCTTTACAAGAAAATAATAATGCTATTCGGTTTTAGTTTAACAATCTAATATGAGACTTCTTAATTTTTTTAAACTATTAGTAAACCTTGTTACAAACAAATTAGGAATCAGTTACTGCCTAACCATAATTGGGACATAGATCCTATATAATTCTTGACCTATTAGGAAACCTAGTTAGAAAATTAGGAATCAGTGTACAGCCTGCCCATAATTGGGATCGAGATCCTATATATATACACACTTAACAGTTTTTCCTTAATTTTTCCTAGATCACCCACCAAATAATTGTTTTAGAGGACTGTCGTCTAAGTGTGTTTGATCAAAATCAAACACTTCATTCTTATTTTCTTTGCTTGAATTCATTGGGATGTCAGACAGTCTCGCCAACATATTTGTGGTCAACGAACATCTCGGAATCGTGTCGAAGGACCACCATGAGAGGTGTGATGGGTTCTATGTTCCACTAAAAGTTTATAGTACGGTTAAAAGGTCTTTTTTTTCATAAAAACTGATGATTTTTTAGCAAAGAAAAAGATGCTTGAATTTTTTTTTTTAACAATCTGTCTTTGAATTAAATGATGCATATGATTAGTTTGTGAGTGGAATTTTTTGTATCAATATTAACTATTTATGGTACAGGTTGACCTAAAGCATTGCAAAATGTGAAGCACTTCCAAAGTATAAAATTCTACGTCGGACCTACCGAACCTCAAAACCTCCATTTAGAACATGCCTTCATAGTAAGTTCCTAGGCCTGAGAATGTTCATTCTTTTTCAGGTAGGCAGGCCTATTTTACTATCAACCCCCCAGAATGTAGCCATTCAACCTTATTGTAAGAAGGGAGGTCCACTGAGATGTGGTTTTTTGACTCTTCCCCGAAACTATTAAATTCAGAAGGCAAATCCAGTACAACCACCTTTCCAATGTATCAAAAAAAAAAAAAAATCCAGGACAACTATAGCCAACTGATTAACTCTAATTAATGCATAATTTAATTAAGTTAATAGATAAATTGTGTTAGTTAAACTAGTTAAAAGAAGTCAAATTAGAGTTAGTGTGTGAATTAAGAATAATACATTAATTGTTGTTCTTTTCAGGGTTTTGTGCGTCAAAACTACACTCTACTGGGGAGACAATTGTGGCAAAGCTACACACTACTGGGAGCCAATTGGGTCAAAATTACAAACTATTGGGTGTCAATTGTCAAAATTATAAACTATAGGGTACAAATTATCAAAACTCAAAATAAATGGGGATTAAAGTGTAATTTAAAACCGCTAAACAAGACTTTCATCCTCCCTTGTTGCCTATAAATATCACCCCTTAGAACTTGTAAAACATCCATATTTTAGTAGTGGAAAACCCTTCAAAAGTGTTATTGTTTTCTTTAAGTATTGTTTTCTTTTAGTGTATTATTGCTTTATTTTAATTTATTGTTTTCTTTTACTTCCATTGTTTGAGCTTCTTTCTTCCCTTAGAAGAGTGAAACTCTTCCACTTTTCTAGAGCTTTACCAAAGTCGTGAAGGGTGGAACGTGATTCACTTATTCTTTGTCGAAGATCAGCTCCCTGTGTAAAGTGTTTTACTTTGTAACTTCTCTACTTGGAGGGATGAGCGTCACTCACTTTTCTAGTTTTATTAAAGTCATGAAGAGTGAATAATTTCTCATTCATTATTTAGAAAGAGGTGATGAACATGTATAAATCATTCGGAAGTTATATTTGTGCTTTTTATTTTCTTTCAATTTCTTAGTTTTAAAATGGGTGTTAATTGTATTTTCTCTTAGTTTATGTTTCTTTGCATTAGCTTAGCTCCAGTTTTTATTTCTTCATAATGTCTTCTTATTACATTATTATCTTTACCTTAAGCATGAGTGGCTAAGCTTTTAAGTTGGCTAATCCACGGAAGACATTCTCTTGGATATGCCATTTCAACACATTTTCCTTATTCCTCTCAGAATGCGATGGTTCGGTTTAACTGGGTAGAGAGTGGACGAGATTGTGAGTCTTTGATATCCCGTAGACTTGTCACGGGTTATACTTTGATTCTCACTTCCATCTCGTCCCTAGCTTCTCACTAATCAATCGTACATTTATGCTCTATTGGAGGAAGGATTCGAGTTGACTTAGTATTTTCATTGGAGTGAACTTTTTGGATTAGCCAATATTTTTCTCATTTCAATTTTGTTAAGATAAAATCATAAACCAAACTTCAACAACAAAATATTTTACACTTTGCTTTTCATCAAAATCATCTTCAAAATGATTCACCTTCTTCCCTGAGGAGACGACCTTGATATACGATTCCAAGTAAAACACGACAAGCAAAAGTCTCTCTGTGCTTAGGGAGCATTTTTGTTCACACACATACACATTTGATATTTTATTTATTCACCATTTCATTGCGCTTTCTTTTGACATCATTTTAAGGGAGAGTGACACTCCCCTTCACACACACCATACATACATTTAGAGGATGATGTCTGGAGGCTAAGATATACTATAACAGAGACGATCAAGAACCAACATTATTCATTTATACCCAAGAAGTATAGTTTTGAGTCATTCCGGCTTAGCTCAGCACGGAGATGTTAATAGCTAGAAAACTCAGAGAGTTAGTCAAGCCTGAAAAAAATGATGTGAAACATACAGTTTCAAGTGTAAATTCTAAACTCTTTTATTTGTTTAGTGTTGATTACACCGGAAATCCCCAAATTATGCGTTCCGTTTTTTTTTTTAATCCCTAATATTTCAATTAGTTCATTTTGATTCTCAAAATATTTAACAAAATTGAATAACGTGCTAATCAAGTGCGTGTATTAGAGGGCAATTTATCTAAACAAAAAAAATTGAGCTCATAGAACATCACTGACTAGCACGTGATTGAAACCCTTCACCTGTTCTAAACTTCATTCTTCTGTCTGGCGACTACCCCTAAAAATCTTCCGTGTTCTCCCCCTTCCCTCTTCCTTTCAGTCAATGCTTTGTGGGTTTTTATAATGCCGATTGATTCATATGATTATGTTGACTGTGATGAATGATTTGGAAGATGCACGTGAACCGCGCCGAAAGAGAGCGAGCTTGTTTAATTTTGCTGGCAGTGACTATTTAAATGGAGTAGTGAGACAGTGGTGTCGGTTTGAACGGGGCTGGTAGTGGTTTGGTGATCGCAACAGTAGCCTGTGTTCTGTGCAGAGGAGGGGGGCACAGAGAGAGAGAGAGAGAGAGAGAGAGAGAGAGAGTGAGTGAGTGAGTGTTAGATATGGTGATTATGATGGGTGAACAAAGAGGGAGAATTGGAAAGAGAAAAAGAGGAGGGGGGAGACTGTGTGCCCTGTTTTGTGTAGACATTCAACTGTTCAGCTGTTGTGGGTGTGGGTGAGTGCACCAACTGTTCAGATTCCTTATGATGCATTACATTCAACTCTTGAAATTGAATTCATGAAGATGCCACTCCCTCTCTTCCCC